CCCCAAAACCCCAAAACCCCAAAACCCCACTATGAAAAAGGTATTGATTTGGTTAAAATAAGAAATAAATAACTCATAGATTTCAATTCTAGCTGTAAAATTAATTCATATTCTTAGAGTATGTATAGGTTCTGAGTACAATTCCCGATTGTCGATTTAGTTCTTATCACAGAGACAGATTTAATTTACTTAAAAACTACCAAGTTTTAATGGAACTTAGATAACTTCAGTAGCATCAATTGATAATTTTTCAAATTCTGGTCTTTTAAAATTTTTACCTTTTTTCTTCTTAGAGAACTTTTTCTACTTTGATTTATTATTTTATTCTGATTAATTACTCCTTTTCTTCCTCTCATTTTTCACAAGTCTGGTATTTATAAGAGTCAGATGCATATTTTGCTGCTCATATCTAGATTTCTATTGATTTAGTTCAATATGTGCACCAGCTAGATCATTTCTTTCTAATATTTTATCATCTATAAACTACTGGATAATTGCATTATTTATCTCCATCAATAATTCATTAGTCTTAATTGGAATGTAGATCAGTCTACTCTTATCCACACTCGACCCAAAGAATTCCAATGAATCTCCTAATTCCAGAATAAATGGGCAATTCTGAGATTGTATGATATCCAAAATAAGAGCTTAAGCTTTCATAAGAGACTCTCTTGCTCTATAAATATATCCAGCTTCTCTTAATGATAAAACACTCAAAGATATATGTAGTTGATTACTCCCAATGAAAAGTTGATTTATCTATCCTTAACTCAATTATTATCCTTAATTTTCAAGCTATTATCAGACTCTGAATCTCCAAGTATCATATAACTATTATTATTCTTCATTTAATATGATCGGTATTGAGATTATATGAGAATACTGTTTGTTGAAAGTCATAAATTCTCTTTAATCAGGGATTGACTAATAAATTGCTTGCTTTCCGAAGGAACATAATTCATTTAAAGTAAATTTCTTCAGTTTTTTACTAGTCACATTCTAGAAAAGGGTATATTTACTGAGCAGTTCAAATGACTTGAATAATTTATACATCTACCTACTTTGGCTTGTACTCTAAAATGGTTCTTGATCTTCTAATACAGTAGAAATTTGTGAACCCTGGCTTTCATTTTCTATAATTTCATTGCTAATGTTTTAGTTGTCCATGTGGTTTCAAATAATAGTTTAATTATAGTGATGATGATTTTATTATAATTTAATAAAATGATAAATTTAATGTAATTAAGACAAGTATGTTGCTTAAACACACAAATTTATCCAACTTAGTTAAAAAATCTATTGAACTCACATCTTATTAGATCTAGAGTAAGACTCTACAATACAGATTAAGGCAGTGTTTAATCAGAGGGAGAAGGCTCTTTATTTTCCCGTAATATATTCAAAAAATAGCAGGAATCAAAGAAAGTTTACTAGTTTAATAAAGTCAGAAATTTAGGGAATTAAGGAATAATTGATGAATCACAAGATTTCGAGAACAAATCTTTCAGGAAAAAAACTGAATAAGATGTTTATTAGCTTAATAAAGTAAAAGATAATACAAATTAGTACTTTAATGCGAAAAGAAAATGGACTTAAAGTGATTTGGAAGCAGAAATTGATAAATTGATGAAGAATGAAAATTTAGAATTTAGAAAAGATGTTCCTCTAGAGTAAAATATCATGAAAACATTTACTATACTGAGATGGTTATAGTGTTTTTCTTTTACATTTAAGGTAGCAGGACTTAGATATACACCAAAAGTTCATGAATTTCATGTCAAGTGCGAAGATATTATTTTCTAATGCTTACCAAGGGATGTAAATCTTTGGAATTTTAGGAATTTGCTACACTCATATATTTTTTCAACAGAGTTTCATGCACAAAATGTCAATAACAACAGAATTTATAATGAAATTTTGAAGCTAATTTCTTAGAACTGCCAAACTTTAATCATTGATTCTCATAGGAAATTTAATGTACCTAAAATATTGAGGGAACTAAGATTAATAAAAGGCCAAAAAGAGATAGAATTAAGTTAAAAAATTGTCTCTTTAATATTAAAAGATTTTGAGAAGCAAAGTCCAGCTTAGATTATAGAAAAAATAGAGTTAACATTTTTTCATCTCTTATATGAGTAGGAGTCTCTTTTCAAAGCCCAAAAAGATACAGTCAAAACTGGCATTTTACTCAACTCTGAATCGTATTAACATTAGATAGATGAATTATAAGAGAATGGCTTCTTTTTAAAAATTTGTAAATACTTTAATCAAAAATTTAAGAGTAATGAACTAAGTGTCGATCAACTGTTTCAATTATTTTAGTATTCATACTTTGCTCATAAGCATACTGATGTGAATACTATGTTTAGATTTATGAAGTAGTTTGACCCTGATGTAATGGATTTTATCACGAAAAATATAGACTCTTTCAATGTTAAATAGACTAATTCTGTGCTATATTTGTACGCGATAAATGGTTTCGATGCTCAATACAGATTTGAGTATTCTAATTTTTTGGAAAGGTAAAATTTAATTGTTTTTTAATAATTTTAGACTAATAGACAAGGCAATAGAAAAAGCAAAGAAGCAAAAGTCATAATATTATGAAAATATATAATCAGAATTGAATATCTCTAGAAGCTTGGGAAGTTTGGGTTTTAGGAATGATAAGATAAAACTATTCTTGAAGCAAGTCGTAGATAAAATTCAATAGAGTGAGAACTATACTTTCCACAACTATTTGACACCTATTTCAGCGATTATCAATCTAAGGTACTTTAATGAGTTTTACGGAAAGAATCATGTTCAAGTTGTAAAGAATTTCATATAACTTTATCATAAGGAATAACACAAATCTACTTAGCTCTTTTTAGAATTGATAACTTTGGCAAGATAGTTAACCAAATTAGAGATTTATGACTATCCACTTATTTTTGAACTGACTTTCAATGAGATTAAAGAAGTCATTGAGAGTGGTAGGATTCTACATAAAAATGAGATTACAGGTATTTATCAGTTGCTAGTAAGTCTCAGAATTGAAAAGCCTGAATATCTCCCAAATATTGATTTCTCTAGAATCATTGATTTCGATCTACTTCAAGAAACATTTAAGAGTTCAACAATCAACATGTATAATAAACATAACTTGAACAATAGAATCAAGAAATATCTTGAAGATAATGATATCAAATACATTGAGGAGTACTTTGGTAAGATCTATTCTAATTTTATAATATCTTATTTATAGATGACTTTTTCTTAGACTTTTATTTGCCTGATTATAATACCATTATAGAAAATAATGGTCCCTATCATTATATTGCACCTGAAAGAATTTTGAATCAAACTACATACACCAAATTAAGATAGATAAAGAAAAAGGGATACAATCTAATTGAAGTACCATTCTATGTGAATATGACATTTGATGATGGCTTTAAAGGACCTCGCTTAGAAGATTTATTGGACAATATTAGTAATCTAAAGTGAAATACAATTGGCAGCAATAGAATTTTAAAAGGAATTCGTGCTAATCTTTTCAAGGAGACATGATATGATTATCTAGACTCCAAAACCTTATTTAAATCTAATTCATTTTTCAATCCTGATTATTTTTCTCTTAAGGGGTTTTGGGGTTTTGGGGTTTTGGGGTTTTGGGGTTTTGGGG